GTCAGTGGCGCTTCTTGTGGGGATGGGCTTTGTCTCAGTGTCATTCTAACCATCGTTATTATTACTGTTGTTACCTTTGTCAGAGATATTGCTCTGGATATCTTTTTACTATTATCGTCGTTCTTCGTCTTGAAGCTTTATAATCGTGCTCCCTATCATGATTATAACCTTTAACTACTACTATCAATGTTATCCTTATAATTATTATTATAATCCTATTGGTATTTTACTTACAGATGTCATTAACAGACATACACATGAAATACACAGGAAATATAGGTAAACACAACCGTCCTTTTGCAGAAATAACTCTTTTCTTACACACATTCCCAGATTCCCGACGCCACAAGCCACCGACAAACCCGAAGAATAAAACTTACGCAATACTAAGAAGCGATTATTAATTCTTTGAAGTCCACGTGATCATATTCTAAGATCCGGGAATTTAAAATCAATACTCGACGAGCTGTCTTGTTATGGAACTTATTGAGATGAATCGTCCGTTTTCCCAATGAATAAACAACGCAACTTTTTTTCTTTATCAGTATCATTTTCTCCCCACTCGCATCTTTCGAATACGCATTGCAGAGCAGAGAGGAACCGCCTCCTGTCTTATATATGCATACGCTTGAAAAATAAATTAAGATGCAACATTTATTCTTCCCGGCGTGCACGATGGCCAAGCGAGTCCGCACGAACACAGGACGACCCGCCGAAATATTGAAGAGTGTGGGAGGATTCACCGTAACACTGGGAACTCCGCCTAAATACTATTATACACATAAATACACATCGTATTTGTTAAGACCTGTCAGTGGGATACGTCCATTTTTTCCTCTTGCCTGCAATTATTTGTGCTGATTATCCCCACTTCCAAGGTTTCAACACTCGGCGCTGCTATCGTGTTAATTGCCTGTTTAGAATCTTATTAGCGGAGACACACGACTCGTATTCGAATAAGCACGTGCTTCAGATGCGGGAGTCAACACTGGTGAATCTCGGGGGTCCGGCCACCTGTCTATCCTCTGGACATGAATGGGATCATATCTCACGAACGCTTCACTTGGAAATCAAAGCGAGAATGAAATGCGTAAAAGTTTTCCAAGATCTAAACATCCAAAGTCATTAGTCTTTTTGTTTAACGGAAACGCTGACAGGCGAATACGAGATCGGTTCTTCGGGGAAAGGATAATCATAAAAAAGAGACAAAACCAATTGCAAAATACAAAGAAAAAAACGTCTTCGAACACTGCAGGATGCTTTGTTTGCGTCGGCCGTCTCCCGAGTAACCAAGTGGTAGACGCTGGCTTCACTTAATGGGTAAGGGAGGCCAGGAGGAGCGGGGTAGGGGGCAGGGGGGGAGGGAGAGAGGGCCCTTAGTGATGTGACTTTGTTGTCATGTCACCGTTGGGCTCCGAAGCGGCGGACATTTATATGTGCTTTTTTCGTTGTCTATCACTATGTAAACGGGATTTCTGTGTCGAAGATTCAGATCCTGTTATGAAAAAGAGGATTTAAAAATATCGCACGTTTCCCAGTAGCCCAGTAATATGATTTACCGAATATGTCTCGCCAAACAAAGACAAGGACACTAACAAGGACACATATATCTTCCTAGCAAGCAAAAGGTCATCGTGACAAGGAAGTAGCCTCACTTGTGACTTTGTCTTTCATCCTCGAGAAGGGTTATCGATAGCGTCTCATATTGTTGTTATTCGCCAGGTGCGCAAGAAACACGTTGAGTATGCAGTGATAATTCTAGCATTTTTTGCATCTTGCGGAGAGAGAATTGATGGGGAAAATGAGCAAATATGCTTTTCATGTGCATTCACCAGCAAACACACACACACACACACACACACACACACACACACACACACACACACACACACACACACACACACACACACACACACACACACACACACACACACACACACACACACACACAAACAACGGACAGAGACGAAATGGGAACAGATTTCCTTATAGATGAAACTAATTCCCAGCAACTGTAACAGTAGATAACCACATATATTCTCTTTTTATCATGAGAAACACCTCTATATCTGCCATGTTGTAGGCAAGGAATCGAGGTCAAATGCAATAATAACGATGATAATTAAGTCTTAAACGACCCAACCCTTACAGTGTATGTTTACTGAAGAGACAGTTACTGATAATGAAACCAACATTCCCAGCTTGGTAATTGTGTTGTTATCACACTTCCGGTTACACAGGAAACATGTATGCATTTACGTATGAACCATTAACCTTCAGAAATGCAGAATGATAATGTAATCGTTTGTTATTCTTGTTTATTATTAATATTTTTCATTATTATTTTCATTTATTCATTTACATATTCATTGATTAATTATATCATGTGCATTCAGAATGATTATCGCCAATGACCAAATCCCGACTTACCTTTAGCCATAACCAATCTGCCAAAAACATAAATAGTTACTATCCAATGTACAGTGTCTTGTTTCTTTGCACTAGAATTAGTTTCCTGATGATATTACTTATCAGCACAGTACTGTTATAAGAACAATGAGTGGAACTGTGTACTCTGTTTTAGGGCGATTGAGACCCCATAGATATATACGTTTGTTTTTTTGGTCGTATAGTAAGCTATTGAATCTCTTTCCCTGATCATGTCTTATGCTCTTCATGGTTTAGGAGAAAATCATAAAAGAATACGGTACAACAGCATAACCCAATTCCTGGATTATCGCAATTATTTCTCATTTTTATCTTTCTGAGTGACTAACCTCATCGTACTAATTTTACTTTGTGCTGCGTTAATGTCATGTTTTCGTTCGCCTAGCACTGAATTGACCCTTTTTCTCTTTTTGTCTTATTAGAAATCGTTATATAGATGGACATCTCGGTGTGCGCGTGCTGTTCACCTTGACATGTTATTGGGAGGATGAATTAGAAGAAGAGCAAAATAATATAATTTTGTCCTGATGGAAATCAAATGAATATAACGAAAGAGAGCCAATATTCAGTCTATTAATTACTCTAAAACATTTTATACATATGCATTCGTTGCTCTCATACTAATATTATGTTATTATATTTAATTTTCACTTTTCTTCATTTTCAAAGGGGTCCACTTACAATGTTTCAGAAAATGCGTCACTGGGTATTTTAAGGTTCTGCAAAAAGAGCTTCAATCATGGATGGGATATTTTCTACTTACGCTTTCACGTTCCAAGTTTCAAAGCTCTGTCGCTGGTCGATTATTGGTCACTGGCTTTATTGCTTTGGGATTCAGGCTGATACTGTTATTTTGTTTCTTGGTCATGGAATTCGATCCCCAAGCCAGACGAAGGGCGTTGGGCAGACAAAGGAATCTCAAGGTAGTTCAGCAGCTTTTCAAACCTTCGCTGTCGTGGTATATATACATACCCATTTACTCGAAACAGACTTCACTCTCAGATTTTAACATCTTCCGTGTCTTCCTTATTCCTTCCGTTATTTGAATCATCCTTTATCCCTTTTTTGTTTCCTTTCACCCCAGAAATCACATTTTCTCGTCCCCTGTTTCTCCCTCGAACCATTTCACGAACCGCCCTCGGGACCCTAAACTCAGCCACCCTTTGCACCGCCAGGACCAAGACCCGGAACCCGGTCGACTCCTTAGCGACCGCATTCAATATTGGCGACTCAGACAAAAGCTGGGACTCGGGTGAACTCAGCAACCACGAATGGATTTAATGGATTTAGAGGGATATTCACGTATGCCGGAAGTAGATAGATATTCTAGAGAGGTACATACGCGGTTGCTGAGAATAGTTTAAGTAGGGGATTGGTGTATGAACATGAACTAGGTCAGACAAGCAGATAGGCAAAACAAATATTAAAATAGTATATAAGCAAATAAATATACATGCTCATGCACACACACACACACACATACATGCGAGATAGAATGATGATAGAGATAAATAAACAGATGGATATATTTAAATAGTGATATATATGTATATTATATACATACATATATACATACATACATACATGCATACATACATACATAAATGCACACACACACAAACAAAAAAACAAACACATATATGTGAGAGAGAGAGAAAAGATAGAAGATAGATATAGATAGATAGATAGAGATAGATAGATAGACAGAGAGGGAGAGAGAGAGAGAGAGAAGAGAGAGAGAGAGAGAGAGAGAGAGAGAGAGAGAGAGAGAGAGGAGAGAGAAGAGAGAGAGAGAGAGAGAGAGAGAGAGAGACCCATGACCCTGGCACCAACCTCATATGGATTCCAAAGCGAGTTCGTGGTCCCAAGGATTCAAGTACATTTGCAGTGACATCGACCACAATGAAAGTTTGATGCCAGCGAGTGCCCATGTGAGCTCAATTCACGTTTGCCGACCCACAGGAGCCTCCGTGAGACCAGGCGGAAGAGAATCCTTCATAAGTGTGCTATAGGTCGGAAAATATATTTTTTTATTCGTACTTTTAGGAGGAAGTAAATGCCTTGTGAATTTCATGGGTATGCTTATACGCATCCGTTTAGTGGTGTCGGAACGCACTTCCGCTGAACTGATTGCAACATTCTAAATTAAAGTGTTTCTACATAGAATGTATATCTATATTTTTTTCTATATACCTGTTCGTATTAATATATGAGTTTTGTACCAGAAGAACCTTTACCAAAGAGTCCATTTAACGACAATAGGATATATTTTTATGATGTAAAAGTATCATTGTGCATTGAGGCCCAAATCTTAAAATCGAGAGGAAATTACCAGGAACAAGACCTTCTACCCCTGGCACACCAACAAAAAACATACACAAACGCATACATCAAGAAATGATGATAAATATCTTGCACTCCTCAGATTACCGAAAATCCCCCATATGAGCCTTTGCCACACAATACACTGTAGAGTAATTCCTGTAACATTACCCGCAGGAGAAACAAACTGAAGGCGTGAAGACTGCGCTAAACTAAAACGGAAGACTCGC